CTCCCCCCCCCCCCCCCCCCCCGCAACAACTATAGCCTGCCTTTTAATTGTAAGTAGCTGTTCCGGGGGAGGGGAGGATGGCTGTAAAAAAAAAAACACCAGGTAGGCATCACACCTACAGCTGAGAGACAGGGTGAGGCTTGTATCTACTTACTGTCAGGCCTGTTGCACATGGCTGTAATCACAACTCACCTTGGATCTCTTTCTCCTTTTAAATTTAAGAGACAGTGCCTCAATATTCCCCCCCCAAAAAAAATACTTGACCCATCTCTATTGAGTCATCAACAAAACAGTAGCCTTAAATCCCCAAGAGCTTAATACCATTTAAACTGTAATGGCTTTATTTCAAAACATGTAATTGTCTAAAATCCTTGGTAAATCAAGGATTTTGTTTTAAAGCTAATCAGTATATTTTGAGAGGCAACTTCGTTTGTGGCAACATGGATAATCTAAAAAAATACATAAGGGAAATAAGCCGATCATCAGTGCTCACTGAATGAATCAATTTAGATGAATTTCTAAAATAGGCAAAGCAACTGTATGGTCAAAAACAAAACAGAACAAAACAGTGGCCAGCAGCCAGTGGCTCATGCCTGTAATCCTAGCTACTCTGGATGCTGAGATCTGAGGATCATGGTTCAAAGCCAGCCTGTGCAGGAAAGTCTTTGAGACTCTTATCTCCAATTAACCATCAGGAAACCAGAAGTGATGCTGTGAAAGTGGTAAGAGTGCTATCCTTGAGCAAAGGAGCTCAAGGATAGTGCCCAGGCCCTGAGTTCCAGCCTATGACTGACACCCCTTTTACCCCCCCTAAAAAAGTGATTTTGTGGGTGGGCAGGAGGATAGAGATTGACTAGGAGGTACATCAGTTTCTTTGTGTTTGAAATGTCTACTATGTTATTTGGTATGCCAGGCACTGTGCAGGAGGCAGGTATGTAGCAAACAATACCCGAACATTGGACTTAAATACCCTAAAGGATATAGCTGTAAGGACTGGTAATGTCTATATGAAGGTAGTGAACAAAAAGAACATGGGTTTTGTTTTCTTTTTAATTCTTTCCTTCTAATAAGAGCTACTTAAATTATCCTTTAAAATCTTCCATACTTTTCCTTCTTTGTAGAGTGGTTCACATGACAAAAGCCCTATTATATCTTCCGGTTCTTTCTCACTATCCCAATGGATATTTACCCTTCTCACTAGACCAATAGATACTTATATGTCTTGCAAGCTCTTCTTTCCCTTAACTGGTTACCACCATGGGTTCTTGGCCCATAGTCCCATAAATTCTCCATAGCCAGTTACTCAAGCAAGTACAGTATGTGAATATACATCCTTCTCTGTGGATTTTCCTCATTTTTTCCACATTACGAGAAGTTCTGCATGGAAAATAAAAACCCACCTATGGACTACAAATTAGACATTACAAATCAGATTAAAGTTATAGCTCCCACAGCACCCATATAACCTGGCCACATCCAGCCATATTTTTTCAAAGTTTCACTTTACACATAAAGGACATTTGAATTAATTTTTTTGTAGAAACCAAACCTTAGAGATTTTTGCTTTATCAAGTGTAATCTTCTGTAATCTCAAACATTGTTTTGGTTTTGTCTTGTGCTCAGATACTTATAAATTTGCCAGTCCTGCCCCAGTTTTTTTTTTCCTCTGGGTCACTATCAGAGTGAATAGTATTGTATGTTCACATTTCCTACAACAAATCAATCACAGAAAGTCATCAAAACCCCAAGATACAAAATACAGGAACTATGAAACCACTATCCTCATTTTACTCTTTGAGTCAAGATCACCATATTCTTTGTGACCCTTTGTAATTTTGGAGCTGAAGGTGGGGGAAGAGTCCCACTTACAAAAATTATTTTTTCTTCCAAAACAAACAAACCTGAGTATAAGTTGTCAGGTTAACATTCTCAAAAACACTGG